TGAAGAAAATGATTTCAAGTTAAAGATGATGAAAAAGGAAGAAGAGGCGAAAAAAGCGAGGAAAGAAACATGAAGGAGGTGAAACAATAGAGAAGGGAAAAAAGATGATGTTGATGATGATGATGAAGAAAAAATAGAATCTGTTTCTGTATTTGGTTCATCATTTGAAGATTAAAACTGATGCTTTCAATCAATATGATATTAGGCTCATCTTTTCGTTATGAGGACAAGAAGAAGTTTAAGGTGAAATGATGTTAGTTTTTTCTCTAACTTTCTTCTAGTTCATCATCATCATCATCATCATCATCATTTTCTGAATCTTGGGAGAATGAGTTTAGTTTCAGACAGAATAATGTTTTGTTAGATCAAGATGGAGAAATAGAAACATAGTTTAGTTATATATATAAATATATCCTTTTTTTGATGATAACTTCAGTGGGAGGTTTAGCTGATGGTCGCTATTGACATAATTGGTTGCCATTAAACACTTGATCGCTCCCGCAACTTCCATTGAATAGGTGCTTTTAAAAGTATCAAAACGATGAGGTTAAGCTCAATATTCAACTATAAATAGAGATGAAGGGAGAAAGATTTTTGTTAGTTACAATATTAAAGGGAATCAATCAGTATTACGAGTTTTACTTACAATAATATTTTGTTTACGGTTCAAGATATCAGTATTGTTTCAGGATAATCAGTGATGATGATGGTGGTGGTGATGTTGATGATTTGGATAAGTGAGATGTAAATTGATTTTCCATTTGAAATGTTTTTTAGATTGAAAACAATAAAATATTTTCTCTTTTCTCTCTTTACTTTTAATGTTCAATTTGTTTCCATTTGCTGTTTCCATATGTGTTGTCAAATTTAGAATCATCAACTTATCATGATTCAATGTTAATAAGATGGTAAAGAATAGTAAATCAGGTAAAGACTGTCACGTTAACCTCTTAATGTACAGGTAATAGATTCATATTCACCATTCTAGATTCGTGTTTCTCGATAATTCCATTTGTTCATGTTGATGTTTTTATGCATATAATATAAACATTTGGAAAGGGAAAAACAGAGAATCTGAAAAACAAAGAAAAAAAGGAACTTTTAAATCATATTCATCTAAATCACAAGTCACAAAGTCAAAAGAAAAAGTGATTTACCTTTTCGACTTTACAGGTAATTTAAACGGCTAAACGGTGATAAACATCAAACATCAATTGATTTAACATGGTTAGTGAGAATGAACAAAGACTTACATGTAAAGGTAGAAATCACGAAATGTAGAGATTGATACAAAAAAAGCAAACAAACGAAACAAAAAAGAGAAATGTTGAAGTAATGAATGATATTACAAGCAATTGTGTAAATAATATTTCCCTTTTGGTTAAATCTGTTCACCAAGATTCTTGGTATGTAACATAATAGGCAAACATTCATCTTTATCTTCATCATTTCTACAGATTGTTCAGTTTATCTCGTTGGTTCATCTATGCAACTCCTTGTTTCCTCCATGCTTATTGCAAACCATTTTTTGCCTTGTCTTCCTCCTCTTCTCCTTGATTCCTCTTGTGATCATCTTTTTTATCCATCAACCCCTTTCCACCATCATCATCATTATCAACAGCAGCAGCAATTGATTGTTTCCTTGTGTTATAACTATTTAGCAATAAGAAGAAGAAGAAAAAATAGCCGACTGTACATGATTCCAACTATCCATGGATGTATCTTTAAATGTATGTTACGATTGACAACAATTGTCAGAAGAGTTTTGTCGAGTTTAATCATCGTTGCACCAAATAGAGAGAGTAATAAGCAGCTTCTTTTCGGGTGACTTTACCAATCGTTTGACATGGAAACTGGAATGTAGAGGGAAAAGGAGAAAGATATACAGTTAGAAACAAAAATGACACACAAAATCATATATCATTATCAATTTAAATCAATCATCTTGCCTTTTGACAGAAAATTGTCTAACACAAGAAATAGCCTTGTAATTGCCTTTGCCTTTTACGTACAGTTAAAGGATGAAGAGACTTGATCTTCCCTTTACTAGCTTATCCTTTCATCATTGTTTTTACCCACTTCGACTACCTTTATCATTTCAATGGCAACATTTTTTACTTTGTTTTTATTGATTATGATCGATCAAGTTTATATTTATGTATGTAATAGTTACATAAATACATGAAGATGGAGAAGAAGAAGAAAAATGTCTCTCTTTTTACCAGACAAAAATGTAAACATATTAAGTTGGAATTACACTTTTGTACTGGAAAACAATTGTGATGACAAGTAACGTCTGAAAATGAAAAATCATTTTCATCTCAATGGATTTGGAGAACCACTTTTTTTCAACAAAAAAATCATATATTAAACTGATTATTGAACACACACAAAAGTTATATATTAAAAACTCTGCTAACTCGAGTCAACTTTTGGATTATTCTTGTACATCACACACTTCATGTAATACATGAGTGTGAAAAGCAAGTTTTGAAAAATGATTCTCAATACCCTTTGAGCTAATCAACAAATTGGTTTGTCGTCAACAAAATGTGTTGATGAAAATGATTTTGCATCTAAATAGTGAATTTGGTTAATCATTAGATTCTTACAATTATACTGGAATATTGTTTTTTTGTGACTTCCTTTTGCTCTTGCAAGTATTAGTAGAGGAAGAAGTAAAAAAACAAAATCAGTTTGTCTCATGATTCCTCTGGAGATCCATAAATCTGATGATGATAATGATGATGGTGACGAAGATAATAGTAATAATGATAAGGTTGATGATAGTGTTGATGTTGATCCCAATTACTCTTTGATATACACTTCTAAGCTATTATGATCATGACATTTATTTAATAATCATGTTACCATTGTTTTTTCTCTCCTCTGACTGTCTTCTTCCTTTTGCTTTAACTAACATCAATTACACTGGAAACCATCAAACATGAAAATTACATTTGATTAACAGCTCCATTGTCCGCAAAACTGGTGCCTTCAAGTGAATCAACTGATGTTGGAAGTTCACTATTTCTTAACTGTTCGGTAACTGGCCATCCAATAGATTCAATAGTATGGGAGAAAGATCATAAACCAATTAAAGGAGATTCATCTGAACTCGGGATACATTTAGTGGCAAAAGATTTGCTTCACATTGAATCGATCAAAAGTAAACACCGAGGAATATACCAATGTTTTGCCTCAAATGAATACGAATCTGTCCATGCTTCATCACAAATAAACATAAGAGGTAATGAATCTTGATTCCAAATTAACAATAAAAATCCTAATCCACCAAGAATAAACATTGAGTGTAAAGCGAAAAGTCGAACAGCCAGAATAACAAGATCTGTGGAGTCAGCTGAGTTTGATTGAATCTGTGAGAGAAAGAAAAATTTTATAAAAATGTGTTAAATCAATAATTGAAAACAAATGGTGTTGAGTGAAAAGGTAAATGATGAGTATAAAGTGAAAAAGGTAAGAGATTTAGATGATCCTGGACAGATTTCAAGTGAACAAAAAAAACGCAGACACTAAAAGTTCACAGATATAGCCCTGGTTGAACAGATTATTAAGTTATCCAATTTTTAGGAGAAACAAATTGCTTTTCATCTTCATCTTCTGTTTTCAACACTCAATAAAAACCTTTCCCATTCCATAACCCATGTCTTACTCATCTCTTTTTCCGTTGCTCATTTTCATCTTTTCCATTCCTTTTCCTCCTCCTCCTAATGCACCATTTTTCCCTTTGCATCGTCTGCTTTTCTTTCCTCGTCTTTGTTTAACTTCTTGTTTAACCAAACAACTTTATTTCTCCTTCTATGGCTTTTTGCTTCATCTTTTTTCTTACATCGCACTTGTCTCAACATGGCTTCTCATCACTTTCGATTCAACTGTTCATTTTACAACTGATGATGGTTATATGATGACAACAATGGCGATGATTATCCTGTTAATGATGGCTCATGATTTATCAACAATAGATGATCCTCCTGAGTTTAAGGAAACCTTTAAATCACAAACTTTAGATCCTGGTCCTTCATTGTCACTCAAATGTGTAGCAGCCGGTAATCCGTTACCACAAATAACCTGGACTCTTGATGGTTTTCCAATTCCAGAAAGCATGAGAGTTCGTTTTGGTGATTTTGTAACTAAGGTAAGAAGATTAATAAACAAAGTCAAAATATTTTACAATTGATGAGCTTTTGATTGAGAAGTTTAAAAATGAAATCTTATGCAACCTTTTGTTAAACTGTAATACCATCTGGAATAATCTGGAATCAACTGCAGACGTTAACATAAAGGCGTCAAGTTTGAAAAATGAACCAACATGCTAATTGAATAATCTAAATTAGTAATTGGCATAATTTGTTTACAATTAACAGTTTAAACGTTATCATTAATCAATTTGTTTTCTTGGTAATTAAAGAAAACTGATTGTTGAAAACTGATTTGGTGAAAGGGCAAAAATGAAACCATTAACTGGTTTAATTGAATGTAAGCATTTTGAATCAACAAATGTAACCAAAACTGAAAGATACAATAAATCAACTGATTTTCATCATTTCTCTACCCTTTAGTTAATCACTTTCAACCCTGAAGCTTTGTTTGCTTATTTGCTCTTTCAATCAACGCAATTGTTTTGTTAAACAGTTGACAAACACAGCAAACAGAAACACCAGTAAACTGTCAATTTTATTAACAAATAAAAGTCAACAAATTGTATCATTAGTTTCTCGTTTTAAAACACCCGCCATTCAATCAACACCCAAGATAGGCAAAGGTGAAAGGGCAACAAATTACAGCATTTGTATCTGATAAGATGAAATGGTTTCACTTGAAATTAGGATAATCAGAATTGAGGCAAAAAACGTATGAAAAACATTAACATTTAATGAAGCGAAAAAAAGATTAACAAAAGGATTAGAAAGAGTTGCTCTTTCCATTTTGATTAACAGAAGTAATTGAAATTATCTCATTTACCAAATGATGGTGAACCCAATCACAATTAGACAAGTTGAAGATGACTTTCAAGGATTCAGTTAATAGACGGTGTAAAATGATTACAGAATATTATGCTCATTGTGAATGCAAATTCATAGGCAAGGTAAAGGATTGAAATTTTGTCTGATTTCCCCTTCTAAAACTGGTGAAAACCATTGTAACCCATTAGATGAATTTAAAAATATACAAGAAATGATAGCAAGCTTAATTTAGATTTTTATAAATTCCTTGGTGAACGATATTTTCCAACTTATCTTATTCTTTATTCATTTCTTTTCCTCTTGAAAACTTATCATTTGCTCTCTATTTTCCTTCTGTGCTTCAACCTTATCCTGCTAAACCTTAATTTCATGTAACTTTTTGCCCATAATTTAATCATATTTTACTTCTCTTACTCCACAAATAAGGTTGCAATGGAAGAGAGTAAAATATGGTAAAAAAAGAAATGGTAATAAGAAATTTAACAGGTATATAACTGTATTATAAAAAGATGTTGAAGAGGCACCAGAAATAGGCAGTAAATGTGTTCACTGTGAGGTTGCAAAGTGATTGATTCAAATTGCTTCAAGGAAGAGGAAATGATCTGGAGAAAGATGAAGAGGAAGATGCTCTTTTTTTCGATGATGATTATGATGACACAAAGAAAAAGGTTAAATAGTTTGGTTCCTAACTTACATCTTTGTTGACAAGTTAAGTCTCAATAGTAATTTAAAGTGGTAAAAAATGATTACAAGTATCATACAATAACCAAGTTAAATGCATGTCAATTTTTTAACCTTGTCTCATCATCATCAATTGAATGGGTGTTTTAATGGCACCAACACCGAGGAACACTCAAAAAAATACATCAACATCATAAATTGATTTCCAATCTCTGGATGGATCCATGAATATTTATCCTAAAGTCGACCAAATCCTGGCTGTTAGTCGGGCCTCGCTGTTTGAACTTGATCTCTAAGGCCTAACTCATGGGCTTCACTTATTGAACTTGAATCTTTGATCCAAAATCTTTGGTCTAAATAGTTGATTTGATTCTTAGATTTATCTCTTCGAACTCACTATTCGTACCAGTTTACATAATTGAATAATTTTGAAGCTGCCGACACCTTTCTTTAACTGCTTAAACCAGGTTGCTTTGTTGATTGAATTTTCTCAGGATGGTTAGTTTAGAGATTGAGAATTGCCATTCAATTGTTGGCCAAGTATTAGAGTGTGTCAATCAATTGGATATCCTCTCGACTATCCAATGAATCCAAACATTTTAGTCTTCCTTTTTCTCTTGTCTTCCTGTCCCCTGTAATGATAATAATAATAATTTCATGGTTAAATGGACCTCTAAAAAGGTATTGAAAGGATGTTGAAAAGGAATTATTAAGAGAGAATGAAAGATGAAGATGAAGATGATAAGCAAAGATGAAAGAGTAATATAACAACATTGTCTTGGTGTAATAGTCAAGATACCATGTTTCCGGTCACATGAATTGATACTAAATCTTGCTTATCATTGGCTCAGCATTTCATTTCTTGCAAGTTTTTCTTTTTCTACCCATCTTGAAACCTGCTCATCTAATTATCATTTGCTATTATCGTTTGTTTCTCTTCTTGAAAAAAAGAGAAACTTCATCTTCAATTGTGGAATGAATCCATGAATATCTTTTGGTAAACTCTTTCCTTTGGTTTGATCACTTAAACTCGCCCAAATTGGCTTGACACTCAAAACAGAGATAGATGTGAATGAGATGAAGAGGATAAATTGAATGGAAGAAGAGGAAGATGAAAGGGAAAGGGAAAGATACAATAATGATGAGCATCTAAAACAAATACAAAAACCTTAATGATTCCAAGAAGATGTTCACTTAACTGTATCTTAATTTGCAATCAAACTTTCCCTTTCTATACATCTCACTTTGTTTGTGGTCAATTTAGATTTCAACGCGAAAAGGTAAAGATTTAATGAGCAGCTTTACATATTTCAAGAGCTTTCACTTTCACCAAATTTTGCTCGTCATTGAAAATACAGCAGCAACTAAATTCACAAAGATAAAGATAATAATAAAAGTTAACAATAAAAGAAATTATTTGTAAGTTGTAAATGATAAAAATAAACCTTACCAAGTACATGGTGTAGGAAGATGATGTTAACTGTAGGCCCAAACAAACCAATGTAAAGCTGAACAAATAACGAGTTAAAATTGAATTTTTCCTCTATTATCTGTTATAAATTAATCCCATGTGAAAAATTGGACAAAACATTTACTAATAATGAACAAGACTTTGCAATCATCGCTATAAAAAACCCTTTCAATTTATTTGTCTGTAATTGCTTACAATACATGGTTACACACTGTCATAGTCAGCGTATAACCGAACGACTTTAGTCTTTCGACTGTATATCGCCCCCTGGAGGTCATATTTGGCTTGACAAGCATGGGTAGGGAATTGTAAAAATGATAGAGATACAAAAAGTTATAATTTTACAATTTATCAAGAATTATTTAGATTAATAAATTAGGAACATTTAATTGATTTGATTAAGTTGCTTTAAAAGTATTTGTTCCGTCTTGTTCTCCTTCCTTCGGTTTGGTTTAAATCAACTTTCACCATTTAGCTCCTTTCGTTGATTTCTGGTCTGTCCATTAGAATTCCAAACGTTTCCGATTACTCAATTGTTTCTCACTCAGGCTCGTCATCTTGGTTAACTGGTGATCTACGATTTAGTACAAACTAGTTGCCTTTCATTAACTTACCAGGGAATCCTTTTAGTTTGATTTGACCTTCAGTAAGGATACTTGTTGACCACGTTGTTTGTCTTTTCCAGAGTCGTTTTATCATTTTTAAAGATTATCGTTTTTGGGTTTTCAGGTAAATTTTTCTGTTGTTTTTAATTCTTAGGTTAACTTTTTCATTTTGGATATTCACTGGTTTAAAATACTTTTCGTTGATTCCATATTCATCACTTAATTAAAAAAAATCACTAGACGATGAGTTGAAGTTGCCAGAAGAAAGTCAATGGCTATTTTTATCAAAATTTTGAAAAACAAAATCCAAATCAAGGGGAAAGCTTTCAGCTCCATCTATTGTTGAAATCAAAACGCTAATTGGGAGTCAAAAGTAAACAAAGTCCATCGACCATTCAGTGTTTTGAATATCTGTTGACCAGAATATTGGATTAGAGTCCAAATTGATTTAAGTGAATTAAAGTTTAACATTTCAGTGACAATAAACTGTGAAAAGAATGTATTTATTCAAAAAGTGAAGTACAATTTCAAAATGAAAAGCAGATTGAGTCGGATTGTAATTTTGCTTCAACTCATCATTTCACCTCACACTTGTCCAGTTATTATTTAAAATTGCCATCTCTAATATAAACTTCAATCTTTACCATTTGATTTCACCTTTAACTTTATTTTTCTCATGTTCAACTTCAGTCCAGGACAAGAGGAAAAGAAGAGAAGAAAAAAGAAGTGAAAAACATTGAAAATGAAAAGTTTATTTTATGTGTGTTGTTACATGACTTACACTTGACTTTTAGACTCATTTTACGAATCAAATGTTGACAGCCATTAACATCAACAAGAATAAAATGATGATGATAAAAACTCATCATAATCATCATTTATAGAGAGAAGAAGGAAAAAGATTTCACATCCAGAGAAAAAAGATACTTGTTTCTCTTCCATTTGACCCATAATTTGAAATAAAAAGCGCAAAGTATTCAAAGAAGAGAAGGAAAGATGTTGAAAGATATAAAAAAGACGATCATGTTGATCATCATCATCATCTCACCATCATCAATTGTAAAATTGTCCATCCATTGATAATCATATTTCATATCCAATTCTTAACTGTATCTTCATCTTTTTTCATTCCTTTCACTCCATCCATTTCATCATATCACATCATTTCCCATTTTCATTGCCATTTCTCATCATTTCTCTTCACATTTTTTTCTCTCTCTTTTTCCTTCTTTCACCATCAATTACCATCCCCTGATTGCTGAACAATTAATAGGAAAATTTGGTCGTCAGTTATGTCAACATTTCAGATGTGCGAGTTGAAGATGGAGGTGAATACAAATGTAAAGCTGATAATGGAGCTTCATCCATTGAACACGGTCAACGTGTAAACATCAAAGGACCTCCAACAGTTCGGCCAATGGGAAACATAACAATTGTTGCTGGTGACCTTTTACTAATCAACTGTCCAGTCGCTGGTTATCCAATTGAATCGATAACATGGACAAAAGGTAAGAATCGTTTTCAAACACTTTCATTTCAACTCAACTTTGAAATGAAAACTGTTGCTTTAGTCTTGTCTTGATATCAACTCAAGTAACTGGTAATGAGAAACTGTTTTTTGTTTCGTCTTCAATTACATTTGTTATGAACAAGATAACGGAATAACAAGTTGACCAACCATGAATTACAGTCGTTTCAACCATATTTACACATCTTTGTCTTTCATTTCTTTCTTCTTCTCTCATCATCTTCTTTAACCATTTCCATTGCAATTATTTTACTCTCTTTTTTTATTATTATTATTATCATCATCGTCAGCCTCTTGAAATGGCACATTCATTCAGTGTATAAATTAACCCAGACTTGCCTTGTCCCTTGTTGCTCTCTTGTGTTAACCAAAAGCTTCTTTGAATCTCTTATACGCAGTACAAATTTATAATGCAGTAAAAGCATCTACCGAATGCTTAAACCTAAACAATTAGAGATTGAATTCCGACAGGAATCAACCATTATTACGATAAATTCTCACTTAAATTGTGTTTCTACTCTTGTATGTTTTGCTTCTCAAACATTTCCTGTTCTCCACTTCAACTAACTTTTATTATTATTATTACATTTCTTTCCTCTTTCATCTCAAAACACTCTTTCATCCATCTTTATCTCTATCTCCAACTGCATCTTTATGCTTCATCTTTTCGGTGAAAAGTCTAAACTAGATTTTCAGATTCGATTAAGAGTCACATTAGATTCAAATTATGTGTATTGTCTGAACCCAAACTCTGTTATTGTAAACTTGCATAATATCTCTGAATCTAGTTTATTTCATCCTCCCATCCGATCAAACTTCACACACTATGAGGTCCATCAATGTTGCCCTTGTTTACAATTCCTATTATGAAATTGCTCCCAAACTCCCAAATCATCCATACCAGCTCTTCCTCTGAGCTTTCACTAGTTATCACTCCAAACTCATCTCCAACTCCCCAGCCCTCCTCCCAGCCTCACACCAAACTCCCAAGTTATCCATCCCAAGCTCTTCTCTGAGCTTCGACTAGTTATCACTCCAAGCTCATCTCAAGCTCCCAGAATTTCACTCCAAGTTCTCCCTCTGGATTCTCCCTTCCAGTTTAAGCTCACAGTTCTTTCCCTTTCACCTCTCTGGAACAGAGACACTATTTCAACTTCCCTTTAACCGTGTAAGTAAAGAAACAGAGTAATGGCATTTCAATGTTTAAATTTCCCTTCCTCTCTTCGCACTCTACTCCACTACGTAGCTATCCATAGGTCGTCATCTCTGTACAAACGCGCGAATTCACGTATTCATTTTTCCCTCTCAAATTCCATCATTCCATTTGAGTTCCTCCACTAGCTTCCTCATTCCGATAACTCGCAATTTCTCCCCCTAATTCATCCTCCCAGTTTTCACTCCCAGATTTCCTTCCCTGTTCTCCTTCCCAGTTTGCCTCCCAATCTGATATTGTTATTTTTCCCTCAAAATATTCATCTATTCCTTTTGACGCTCTATTAGACTGCTTTTACAGCTGACTCAATCAATGATACTTTTAATGATAGTGAATATGAGGAAAAAGGGATTGCTAAAACAGTCTATTGCAGCAACTCATATGATTGTATATTTAGTCGTAATATGAATCAATCTCTGGGTTTTTGGTGCATCCACTATCTTCATTATTCCTGTCCCTTTTGGGTTTGGTATACAAACACATAAGCAGCATGATTGATTGTCCATTGAAAAAAAAGTTACCAGACAAACTGTGTTATAGCCAAACAGTTAAGCTTCTCGTGAGATTTAAAAGCAATTGATTTGAAGCCATGAAAGTATCACTTTGATAATGTATATTATCAACTAGCATGTATCAAGTGTATCATCATCAGTTTCATCACCCTCTCTACATGTGAATCATTGAACAAATTACACTTTGAATGAAATAACAGAGCCAAGGAACAAACTAAACCGGCAACAAAAAGGTAATCAATAACATTATCGATAGTCAAGTAAACAAGAAGGAAAAAAAGATTCAACTGTTCATGTTGATATGAAAGCGCATCACACATACAAAATAACAATATTTATGTTATCCTTTTGTTTCTCCAACCTTTTACATTGAAAGAGACTTTAGTTGAAGTTGTAATTGTACAGAAACAATGGTTTTATATTATTATATGAATAGTAAAGTTAATCAATAATTAAAATATTAATTTAAAGACAAAAGCCAAAAAGTATGTAATGCATACAACAAACTGATTTACTTTCCTATCCCATTGGATATAAAAGGACTTGCAGTTGTTGTTTATTCACAATGGTTAATTATAAATGAGAGTTAATGATAAAGATTACTTAAGCTTTCTTTACTCTCAACAGTTCATTTGTTATTAAAGATTATGCTTAAGCATCCTCCTTTCAATGTCTAGTATTGGAAGCTCAATTCAGCTGACATTTGTTGTTTATAATGTAGGGTTATCCATTATCAACTGGGAATTGGTTTGTCCAGTGAAAGATGATGAGCCTGAAAAAAACCAAAATCAAGGTTAAACATGTTACAAGGAAGAGTCATTGATATAAATTAAGAATGAATAAAGCGAGTTTAACTTCATGGATGAACTTGAGATCAAAGAAAAGCTGGTCTTTTGGGTTCGACCGAAATCATGAAAATGTTTTACAGTAACAATGAAAGGTTTTTCACGTAAAAGGGTCTTCTTTAGATACGATCTTGTGCAACAAGAGTGACTTTGTTAGGTTGAATAAAAGCTTGTCTTTCGGCTTGAAAATATGGTTTTCTGTCATTTTTCTTTGATCTTTTTATCGATGAATTGAATATTTGTGATTTATTTTGTTGATTTTATAATGATTATCAATGATTAATTTAATTATTTACTTCTTCTTTTTCTTTTAAATGTATTCTAGCTGGACATAGACTGCCCGATAATCATCGACAAAAGGTTCATGATAATGGTTCACTTGAAATACATCAAGTTGAAAGCTCAGTTGATGAAGGTTTTTATGCTTGCCTTGCTCGTAACAAACAAAACCAACAATCTGAGTCCAGTTTATACATTAGTGTTAAAGGTAAGTGAAATTTTGTTGATGATCAACACTTTATTTCAACTTTAATCCAACACTTGACAGTATATTTATCAACATCCAATTCATTAAATCATTAAGTCCAGTTAAACAAGGTTAATCTTTTCTCACAAAATGTTGATCATCTTTTCACCATCTAAATCAATCTGCACTTAAACCAAATTTTACCCTCAAACAAGTACATTTCAATCACTAACACTTTCATTTCAGCTAAATAATCATTCAATTATACAAAATTTTGTCAACTGTTAATCAACTTCAAACATGGCGCTAATCAGTTTCCCTCGCTTTTTTTCATCAAATCACATGACAAGTGACGATTTCAATGTAACCAAAGAGTAACAGAAGATAGTTAATTTTTACAAATGCAACCATTAAGATTTATTTCTTCGAGTTAATTGTTCCTTTATTATCAGTCATAACTTATAACATTTTCTTCAGATGATTTCACTTAAATTGTGACCAAGTTTACTCTTAAACCATGTGAAATAAACAATAAATGTGTGAAAAAGGGAAACAAAAGGCGTATTGAGCTGTAATAATTTGTGACTTTGGTAACTATGAATGTACCCTGGAGTTGAAGCTTTATTAACACAGTTTAATCAAAACCAAGTTGACCAATGGTTATATAAATCATCCTGATTATATCAAAATTGATTTGGATTCGGACTCTTCATGGTTCCAACTTGCAATTGGATTAGCGAATTTTTCCCGTTAATGTTTCACGCTTGACTTATCAGCAAGTAATAAAATGGGCGTCGGTTTACTCTCTTTCCCTCTTTCTGTGGACAAACTGGTTAAATTGTGGTCATCTCGTTGTTTATGAGCCAATTCCAGTGCTTTCTAAAGACTTCCAGAAGCAACCCGTTCTAATGGGAAAGTCAATGAAAAGATGGAGATATGAAATATCATCAGACATTATGCAAAAGATTGATATGTCGACCCGTGTTTTTTGGTGGTGACCAACCCCAGGATATTTATAAAGACATCAAAATTGGAAGTTAAAGGAAAAAGATTAACCATAGCATTTGTTCTGAGTATTGACTATTTCTCAATACTTTTCAATTTGAAGCTGGACTTGATTCATGAGATGCAAGAAAATGGCTATCGATTAATTATTCAATCCTAAAGATTTCAAAGGTTTTCATCTAAATGAAAATGAACTATTCTCATCAAATTGTAATCCTGTTTCAACAGTAAGCAAGACTTCTGTCATCTCTACTGTTACATACTCAGCTAACCAGCAATCAGAAAGCTAAACAAGGCAGAAGTCCATGGCAGGAACAAAAAATGCCCACCAAAAGGAACCCATTTTCTGTTAACAGCTTCTTTCTTCAATCGATATTATTCTCAAGTTTTCCCTCCTCACCTTCATCTGTCTTTATTTTTTCTTCCTCTCCTCCTTTTTCCGTACTTACACTTTTTACTCTATTTTTCAGCCAAACACTGTGTTACCTTGAATTTAGATTAGTTTGTTGTCTTCAACTTAAACTTCACCTTAAAAACAACTTGTTTTTTCTTCATCTTATTGTCATCAGCAACTTTACCAACTTATACAGAATAAGAATGAATTTAAGTTATTGCGAATTCATTGTCAAGTTTCACAATCTCCACCTTAATTCTGTCCACTAACATTATTCGAGTAAACTCTTTACTAACCTGATAATTTACTCAAACCCTATTACCATCTCTTGAACAAAGATCCGTCAACCTTTCCATTCTTCCATAAAACTCGTGATATTTTGTCTACATGAAAAGCTTCAAATTTATTCTAAAATTTCAATGGTTCCTGACAAACACACACTTAAGGAGACCATTTTTACAACAAATTACCAGACAATTTTCAATACTCGTTGTCATGTTGATTTGAAATGTTGACGTAAACCAATCAATTTAAACATTTTCCAAGCTTAAAGCTGGAAAATGCATAAAATCCAATCAATGAAATGTATTTGTTTTTACATTGATTAACCAGAAAATGAGAATCAATTTTGCTTCATTTTCCCAGCAAGTGAGGTCAATTTAACCATATTAGCCAAAAGAAAGCCAAGATTCTTTAGCCCTTTATATACACACTCACAAAGACCATTATTGAATAAACTGTTTAGTCCAACAAGAATCGATATCTTTGATGAAGAAAAAAAAGTCTCATTTTTTAGTTAATCACTGTAATTGTAATTCTCCAAGAATGCAATGCTTTTTTGCTTCTCTTATTAATTTTCATTTTATTTCTTCCCTTCTTTTTCTTCCCGGCTTCCAATGTTATTCCAATGACTGGGGATTACACATAAACACACACTCACACAGTGCGTCCAACAATAGCCAACTTCTCATTTCCTGCAAACCTCAGGGAGGGTCAACGAGCATCAGTAATTTGCACAGCAGCCAGTGGTGATTATCCGATTCATGTTAAATGGTTGAAAGACAATGTTCCCGTTAACCATCAACGAGGCATCAAAGTATCCCAACTGTCTGACTATTCATCAATCTTGCTCTTTGAATCACTGGCATTGGAACACAAAGGCAATTACACTTGTATAGCAACCAATGAAGCTGGAACAGCAACTCACACTGCCCATATGATTATCCATGGTGAGTCAAGAAAAGAAAGTAAAAGTGGAGAAAGCAATAGTCGAAAGTGACTCCAAGCTAGGGAAAAAAAAGGAAAAGCCAAAGTGGAAGAAAAATTGAAACAAAAAAATCTCATCTCTTGGCTGCAAATGACCATTTCAATAGCTTCAATTGTGAATCTTCAAGATACCAAGAAATGTGCTTTTACTCTCTGAGTTGCTTGTTATGGGACAAAAAATTGGTCAAACAATTTTTTGTTTTTGCTTCTCATGGAAATGTCAACTTTCACCTTCATCATCAATTGTGTTGATAATTGAATTTGATTCCTGTTAAAGGTAATCAGAGTCATGGAAAAAGGTCACCAGATGATTTGTCTAACTACATTTTTGGCCTTTTTGTAGTTGAATAGTTGTTTGGTTGAAAGGGAACACACAGAATGTACAAAATAGCAAATAAGAAATGGGTAAAGACAAGACAATTAAATTGAATCAATTGTTAGCCTGACTATTTACTGTTTGTTACTTCACAATTTTCACTGAAAGTGACTTGAATTTTAAACTCAAGTGAAGAAAAAAATTGCAAGGAAAAGTTATTTTCTTGTAACAGGAATGATTATGATGAGGTTGATGGTGATGGTGATGAATGAAAGTAAATATCTCAAAGAGAGAAGGAAAAAAATCAAAAGTAAAAGGTGAAAATGTTGGGACAAAATATGATTACAGATGAGAAAAGGTGAAAAGAGTGAAACTTGAATTACTTGTGCCTTATCATATTTAACCATCTAAACTGTGATGAATTTATAGATCAAACAAACGTTTCAATTTTCGACTTTTAATCATGACAATTGATCATAGACAGTTTAATGAAGAAACTGTTAACAGATTTGATTATCGAAGGTGAAATTGAATTGAAATTGTCAACAAGTAAATGTAATGAATCTAGCAAAAGAAACGTTCATTTTAAATGGAAAAAACTTGAGAGGAAAAAGATTTTCCTTCAATGTTAAAGTTCACTCTTGACTTTTGATCAAATATTGAAGCAAAAATTTAGATTTAATTGATAAAATTAATGAAATTATCAGTTAATTTCAAGTGTAATTTAGTTGATTGAAAAATAGTGAAACTCTGAAGGTAACAATGTTGATTGAAAAAGAGACTTGGATTCATTTCAACTTGCGCTCAACATTTTTGCCTACCAAATGAATAACTTATGCTTCTTGGATGATGAACATGATGAGAATTGCTTTTTTATTTATTGTTCATTTCCAATGTTTAAATGTATTATTCACATGAAGATGAGAATAGAAGAAAAAAGTTGATGTAATACTTTTTTTTCATTAATATTATGTGTGTTGTTGAACAAAGTGAATTGTTGTTACGTTAGGATTTAATGTTACAAGTTAAAAGGAAAGAGAGGTTTCACATTGAAAAGATGAGCAAATTTAAAAGCCTGATGATCATCAATCTTAACCAATTTCAAGTAATTTCATTCATTAATCTTGAAATGATATTGATTTTGGTGTAATTCAGTAAATTGTTCAAAGTTAAACATGTAAAAAGCTGAAACCATTTTAACATCTTTTTCCTTCACTGACAAGTCTTTATAATTTTCACCACTTCCATTGATTTCCTTCAATTCAAAGTCAATCTTTAATTATTCATTTTTCCTCAAATAATTTCTATTCCATTCCAAGTGTTTCTTTTCATTCTAATCCATCTTTGACTATTTATTTCAATTTGATTGTTTACTAATCAATTTGATTAGTTAATCTTTTCAATGTTTGCGTTTTGCTTCTCGTTGATCCATTTTGATGCCATTTTTGGCTTTTGTTTTCAACTTGAGTTGCTCTTGAATGAAAATTTGAAATTAAGCTCACCAGATTAATCAAAGTTATACTATTGAATGATTGCTTGCAGTTAAATTAAATTAACACTTCTTTCACTGTGATTAGTTGGATGAAACTTGATTTGTCAAATGAAATGTGATTTAATGTGACAGTGGCAAGAATCAATTGTTTATGATTTACTTTCATTAAATCAAATTAACCAGCAATCTTGTTTGACTTTGAGAAGTAAAACCTCTTTTCTTTTACTTACATTAATAATTTGCTATCAAATTAATCACTAATTTTCTCGGTAATCATAATCATTATGAATTTACTTTGAGCATTTCAGTTATTTCAAGGGATTTTGGTATCAAGATGCTTCAATTGAATTAGATAATCTTGAAAAATTGTTTGCCTCAACAAAAAGCATTACATTACAATTCAATTAGACATTGTATTATTAAAAAATAAGTAAGAGAATGTTGCTATTTTTGTGTGTTTCTTTCCTCACATTATCATCATTACCATTGTATGTTACCAATTACTTTAACTTTAATTTCATTTCATTAACCAATTAGATAATTTTCCCTTTCATCTTGATTAATTATTATCATTGAACTATCATGTTTATCAACTTCATTAGTCTTAATTCAGGTTAATCTATTCAATAGTTTTTTTCCCTTCTCTCCAAGTTTTACTTGAAGAGGAGAAAAGCTTAATTAAATCATTTAAGATCAATGATAACAATGAAACTAAAGCAATGCAGGCCTATGAATAGCAACAAGAACAAAAGGCAAACCATTGAAACATTGATTATTCAAATCGGCAAATCATTGAAATCACTGAAAGATTTACAAATAACAGTCGAGTTAAAGATTTAACAATTGATCAGTTACAAAGATATTAGTAGAGACAATGGTTTCAATTTAAATTGAAATACAGTCAAATACAAATTCCTTGTAAGATACAATTCTTAATGTAATGGGTAAACCAACCTGATATCACGAATCTAAATCATTATTCCTCCGATTGAATGTTTTCCTTATAACTGGGGAAACTGTTTCAAATATAACTCAACTATAAATCAATTAAACTACAATTAAAAATAGAATGGATTAGTTAAGCTTGGGGAAAAGTCCGTCAACAAACAATAACAAATTGCTTTAATAGCGTTAATTTAGATAGTTGGTTTGAAAAAACACAGATGGAGGCTGTGAAGGCTTTCAATCTGGAGTTTGATTTCAACGGTTTTTTCAATTTTCAAACATTTCGTTTCATTTGCTTAATTGATTATCGATTTGTTTATAAAATAATAATTGTTTTGGTAGAGAAATATTGATTTAAATTTTCGATTCTGTTTACATCAGAAACATCACTTGACCAGATTTTAGAGTGTTTTTTGGCTATGAAAGGCTGTTTGCAAAAGAAGCCCGAAAATATGAAGATTCACGTTGAGAGTTACATTGAATTGTTTCCAAAAATTGCTTGGAATGGGATTTACTGTTTCTCATTTGTCTCTCATGTAATCATCATTATAATCATCATTTTCTTACTCTTTTTTCCTTCTTTCTTTCTCCTCCTTCTGTCCATTCCTTTTATTTATGGATCCATAATTATCAATCCTCAGTGCCTCCTCGTTGGATTATTGAACCAGTTGACAGTTCAGTTGTCCAAGGTCGAAGTATATCAATAGACTGTCAAGCTGAAGGATATCCAATTCCTCGAATTCGTTGGACTAAAGGAGAAGGTTTGTGCTTCTTTCATTTTCATCAACAGCCTCATCATCTTGTTCCCCTTTCTCTATCATCATCATCTTCTGTTTACCTTTCCCTTTATATTCACCTTTTTTGTTATATTCATACTCACGAAATGCTCATTAACATTCATTGAACTTTTCTTGTTCCTCACCTTTCCATTCCTTACAATTCACACATCATGTTATCTTTCTTACCTTGCTATTTTTCTTAGGTAACTGACAATTCATCTTGTTCATCTCTTTTTTTTATCATCTCTTTATTATCGCTTATTTACCTTTCAAATCGTCTCTATTTCACATCTTCATATTTTTTTTGATTCATCATTTGCAAAATTATCATTTTCTGCAATTCTTATAACCATTTGAATAATTTTCCATACCTTTAGTATTCTTTTTAAACTGATTCAATTGATGAAACAATAGCAATTTGTTTGTTCATCAACTTGTTCAACTATCATGTTACTTTCATCACAATATTCAAATAAATCAGAACTTTCATTTGCAGACTTCCAGTCAATTCAATTGACTCGATTCAAAGCTCCAGTCTCCCTCTATTGTTACATAATCAAGTTACTAACACTTTCTTAATTTATCCATTTTTAACCCTTCTTCCTCAGCATTTCATCTTTAATTGTTTTACCAGTCTCATTAATTTGCGTTTTTTATTTTGTCTGTCTACAGGCTATCAACAAGAGCCACCAACCAATTTTAAACCCATTAATTCGAGTCCACACCTGCTTGTATTTGAAAATGGTTCCCTTGCTATCCATAATGCTCAAAAATCAGACGCTGGTTACTATTTATGTCAAACTAATAACAATATTGGAGCCGGTTTGAGTAAAGTAATTAAATTAACAGTCAATGGTAAGTTGATCAGTGATATAATTAGCAAAATTGACTATTTAAGTTTAGATTTTAATGTTAACACTTGTGGGTTTAATCGTTTATTTTTATAGTCGCTGCTCATTTCGAGACAAAATTTAATGTAGTTACCGTTACTAAAGGCGAAGAGGCTCGCTTGCAGTGTAAATCAATTGGAGATAAACCAATAACCATAACTTGGTCCAAAGATAAAATAAATTTCACGCCTAGAGATGATCCAAGATATGAACTTTTCGAAGAAGCTAATCCAGAAGGTGAGTTTCAAAATTTAAGATTCTCAAAATTGTAACGAAATCTAAAAATATCTTAATCTTTTATGAAGGTATGGTTTCTGAAATACTCATACGAGATGCTGATAGACGTGACTCAGCTCTATTCACATGTAACACTTTCAACAGTTTTGGTAAAGATGAAACAAATATCCAATTGCTCCTTCAAGGTGAAAAAAAATCCAATACTATTCGCATTTTGAACACAATTTCCGATTTAAATCTAATATTTCTGTTTACTACTCATTGTCCAATTTCAGAGCCTCCGGATCCGCCTCAAGATATAAAAATTGTTGATCATGATGGAAGATCAGCAACAGTCTCATGGTCACCACCTTATCCAGGAAACAGTCCAATCATTGATTACATTATTCAATATAAATTGGATAAAGGTATAAATTGATCAACACAGTGTAACAAAAGTAAGCACTCACTTTTCTCATTTCATTTCTTTGATTGAACCAGAAAAATGGACAGCAACTAAAGGCTCATGGAATGCTAGTGCATCAGGAGGAGTAACATCTTATCGGATTGAAGGTCTTCACCCATTAACTCATTATCAATTGCGAATGTATGCAACAAATGCAATTGGCCGAAGTGAACCAAGCTCAGTAATTCATTTTCGTACTGATGAAGAAGGTAAACTTTCTCTGATTCTTTTAACATCAATCTTAATCTTCATTCTGTATTTGCATTTATTAAGCTAACGATAAATTCAATGATAATCCATTCATTTGTTTTTATCATTTGCTTTTTTGTCTTTATTATAATATCAAAGTCTACCATTCTTGTAAATCTAACTTTGTCCTTATTTATCTTCTCATGAATTGTTATAGCTCCAGGAGGGCCTCCACTTCATATCAAGGCAATTCCCATGAGTTCATCGTCTGTTCGAGTCACATGGAAACCGCCTAAAAAAGAGTTGACTTTTGGTCCTATTATGGGCTATTATGTTGGCTATAAGATTAAAGAGACTAACCGGGAAGAAACTGGTGGATCATATACTTACAAAACTTTGGAAGCCAATGATCGCTCAGTAAACATGGAAGCTCAAATAACTGGATTAACTCGAGCAACAAAATACTCAATAACCGTCCAAGCTTTTAACTCGAAAGGTTCAGGTCCAGCATCTGAAAAGATTCTTGTCCAAACATTAGAAAGAGGTGAGTAAACATTAAATTACAGTTTTCTTTCCAATCCAATATATTCAATTGAACTGTTTATTAATCTCTCTCTTCACAATTTCATTTAACAGATCCACCTTCAACACCTAACTTAAAAGTGTCTTCAAAAACGTCCAATTCAATTACAATTACATGGTTACCCGAGTCTCAAAATCAACCTGACACGCCAACAGGTAAGAAACAACTAAATTGAAATGGATATAATTTTGGTGTAATAAAGCGAGATATTAAAACTTCAAATCATTTCTTCTTTAATTAGGTTATATTGTCTACACGAAACGTTCAAGTTCAGACAAGTGGGATTCATCTGAAATACCTGGAAGTCAAACTTCACATACAGTAGAAGGTCTGAGCTGTGGATCTTCCTACCAATTTTATATCGTTGCATTTGATGATATTGGTAAAAGTGATCCATCAAACATTATTTATGTCAAAACTGAAGGTCTTGGTAAGTCCACAGTTTTTAATTGTAAAGCTGGATTTTTTTCATTCTTACAATCAGAATTTAATTGATGCTTTCGTTTTCTTGTTTACAGCTCCAGTTGCGCCAGATAAACACTCCCTGTTAACAATAAATTCCTCTGCCGCCGTTGTTCATTCCGATTCATGGCATGATGGGGGATGTCCAATCGATAAAATGGAAATAATGTATAAAGAAGAGAAAAAGAAAGAATGGTTAACCTTACCTTTTGTGTTCCCTCCGTCCAAAGAAGATAAAGATATTATTATAAGTGATCTTCGACCTGCTACTTCTTATGAGCTCAAAATAATTGCGACTAATGAAGCTGGCTCAACTACTGTTTCTCACACATTCAAAACAAACAGTTTAATAAGAGGTAATTTAATCATAAATTGAATCATAATACTTTAATTCTAATCGAAACATCCTTGTTTTTCTTTCTATACTTTTACTCCAATTATTCCAATCTTATTGATTGAAAATCTCCAACCATTAATTTTGATAATCTGTGTTTTGCATTGGAAAATTAAGCAGAAAAAGGGCCTTTCATGATTGGTAATGAAGCATCCAAATCAGCGGTTGATTCTAGTTCCTACTCTGAATTAAATTTAATCTTACCAACAATTATCTCCATTGGAGCTACTTTTATCGTTTTGAGTTTTCTTATTTGTATACTATTCTTGAAAAGACGTAATAATAACATGAGCTTTTATGGTACGTATCGTAATTTTTTGCGAATATTTGAAATCACGCAGATAAAACTGAACTAATTTATTCATTATTAATTACAGAAAACCAGGGTCTTTATGAACCAAGTAAACGTGAACCAGGTAGTGAATCACTTCGCTTAACGTCGCTGGATGGGACATTGAAAAAATCAACAAATGGTGCAGCTGCTAGTCTAGAATCAAGCAATTACCCATCTTCATATGGAATGACCAAGATTGAATCAGAAAAGGATTTATCTGATGGTCTTATTGAGACAGAAGTTAAACGAGCATGTCCTTCGCCCATTAAGCAGGTACAATTTTTAATCAAACTCAACTTTTACCACTTGAATCAATTATTATAATAACAAATGCATAATTTTGAACACTTTTATTTTTCTTTTTATTCTTTAGCACGTACAATTGAATCAAGCTGAACCATTATACGCAACTGTTAAACGCACTCCTCGTCAACCACGAACTGATGTACACGTCTACAATTATCCAAGTAAGCAAGTGTGCAAAGCTGTGATAATTGAATGCTAATAAATCTGTTCGTTTGGTTTATAATTTAATTGTACAGTTACACAAGCCACATCAGATTCTGGATGTGCCTCAGAAGCTTCATGGCAAAGTATGTCATTAGCCGGACAACCTAACCAAGGAACAATCAACACAAACACATTGTTACGATTCCATGAAGTAAATGATGAAAAAACTTTGACAGGTAACAATTTGTGAAGAAAAACGAGTTTTACATCAATAAAATTATCAAAATTAATTTCACATTTCCTTTTTTCCGCAGCAATACCAATTACTGCTGCTAGTTATGCGACTTATATTGAGCGTCAACCCATTCTGGTTTGTCAACAACAGCGCTACAATAATGGCAGCTACACACGAGGACCGATTCCCCAATAGTAAAAGTTAAAAGATGCTCTTGTCATTAAAAAGCTCAGAAAATAATTTAAATTGGAAATTCTGTTGTGCATTCCAAATATCACGATGGATCTCAGGAAATGACTTAATGTCAGTGATAATTTTATAACTTAAAGCAAAAGAGTAACCTTTTCCGGATGTCATTTTAATAATGATTATTCCACAATGTTGTTAGATTGCGTTCAATATAATTTTCACCATGTTTTACACAAGTGAAACTAACCAACGCTGAACACATTGAGATCAGCTATGCCATAATGGAGTCGACCGTGACTTCACTCTTCCCATTATTTATTAGTCAAACTTTTTATTAGTAGTTTTTATATTAATAATTGTAAATTTTTGCTCCTCAATTTTTCTGTCCTCCAACTTTGATTCATTAACATTAGACGATGCTTCATGTTTAACGCTTTTTTATAATGTAAAAGTATGTTCTCCATTTACTGAGTCTACTCTCAGTAGCCTTTATTAACCTGCAAAGAAACACACTTTCCTGTGAGAAATGCAAAAGTGTTTCAGGGTAAATGCAATAACAACCATTAATATCATGGTTGTGCAAAAAAATTACACAAAAGCTGATTAAATGGAAGTGAATCTATTTTTTTTGTATTTTACATTGTACTTATAAAACTTATACAATTAAATACCAAAATAGTCTTTTAAAACTGCGTTCAATTTAATCTTCAAACTCACCAATTTTAAAAAGCCAAAGAGTAAAAACACAATAACAAATGTCCAAAATTGAATCCAAAATAAACAGCAACAAGATGGTAAAAACAGACGAATTGGATGTTCGATATCAAATTACCGAAAAGAAGTATTAAACACTGAGAGAAGCTGACATTAAATTATTATAAACGAAGTTAAAAATTACAAATAAATTGTTAAAATGGTTACAATAACGGTTGATTGACATCAATTGCTTTTATTACATTTGAAATGTTAAACTAACGGTTAAAAGTTAGGTATCTCCATCAAAAGATGGCAGTATTGAGCAAGACAAAATAGTCGAGACTAAAAAGATGAAAAAGGTTCCAAGATAAAGTGAATGTTGAGTTGTTTAGTTATGTTCAGTTTAACCGAGTAACTTCAACAAGAAACACCATTTATTACAATTAATTTTATTGCAATTCTTAATGAAATTGAATTAATAATTTGTGGCACAATCGGAGAAAATTGTTTAACTGTTGAAACCCGGATTTTGTTGTGACCAGTTTAGTTGTTTTGTGCTTTTTGTTTCACTTTAAACTGTTGGTTGACTTTTAACCAACAATCAGTGTAAATAAGATGAATCTATTAATTACAAGTTGGATACTTTTAATACCAAACTGTTATGCCAATCAAATAAACTATAATCACCAACAATTGGATAAGTTTACCAATGAAAGTGGACTAAAAGTTGACCAACAATCTCAACCGAATGGATTTAAAGTAGTCAACAAAAGATCCTATTCACTTTACGGATCAAACAATAAGCAAATCCAAGAGCGACTCAAATCTCCGTCAAGTAAGTCAATTTTTCTTTCCATTTAACCCAATCTTTAATTTATAATTAACCCAAAATCGACCAAAATCATTACCAACAATTGACAATCACATCACTAATCATTTTCAATCTAAATCATGACCAAATGTTTCTTCAACAGCCAAGGAAAGTTAAGGTTTACCAAGTCAACCTCAAGTTGAATCTCTTACCAGTTGGAATATAAATGTGGCAATAAAACCAAATGAGTTTACACTGGAAATATTGTAAAATATTAAGATTTTCATGATAAACTGTTGAAAATGTGACGATAAATTGATAATAAAGACACGAAAATGTCCAATTCTTAAAAAAAGTCTATTAAATGATGATCATATGTAAGCTTTAACCCTTTGGATAACCCAAGGGCAATCATTGGAGCAAATCTAGAAATTATTTTCATCAGTTTTTTCCTCTCATCCGAACCATATTATATTTGAAATGTGAATAATAAGAAATCTCAACTTTTATTCCTTAACCAGTGATCATTTAATTTAACCGTACATTTGACTTTGTAATCAGTTTAGTTTTAGGCTAAACATTTTTTCCCTTTTCTTCCTCCAACAACATAAATTATTTCAATGTGAAAATGTTAACTGTAAACATTGTCTCTTCACTATAAGTCAACATTACGCTTTAATGTTACTCGAGTTTCAAGTAAATTTGATAATCTCAAGTTTCCCATTGAAATGTGATCAACAACATTTGTCAACATTTTTCAACGTCTTTTGCTTGTTGATCAAAAATATTGATTGTTAAATTGGTTCGCCTCTTAAATTATTAACAAACAATGAAAGTCGTCAGTCAAGCTGAAATGATCACGCAATTGATATCATTACAGTTTAATCCATCAAACCTTGACTTTCAAGTTTGATAAATCAATTCAAGTTTCACCAAATTTAAACTCATCTGTTTCAATTGGAAAATGTTGAATCGATTCGCCAAATCAGTTGCATATTTATCTTGTTCATTTGCTAATGAAAATGAAACATGTTAACATGTCAAAGTTCAATAATTAACTTGACTGATAGTTGAATATGCATAATACTCATTTCATGTTCACTTGTAACACACTTTTACTCCAAGTCTAATTATAATCATGAAAATGATAATTCAAATGATTCATTGAGTGATCTTTTTTTACTCTTTCTTCTCTTTTCACATCAGCAAAACGATAAATCAAAAAACATGATCATATCATCAATATACACAGACAGAACCGGAAACATAATGAATAACATTATTCTTCAACATTTAGCTTAATGGTGTAACTCTACATCAACTTTGCTTCAAACCATTTCCAGAGAGTTTCCAGTGAACTTCAGGGAACATTAGTCGAGTTGGAAACCAAAGCAAAATCATACAATAACTTTCCATCGAATTTCAGATCAAACTCGAAAATTCTTCAATCGAAGAGTAATAACATAAAAACCAAGAAAAAAACGATTTTTCTTATTCATAGCAATTCTAAGCTAACCTAAGCTGACCTAACCTAACTCATAAAAATTACAAACTAAATGCTGATCTTCGAGGTATGAGCTTCGAATTGATTCATCGCAGTTTTGGATGTTCAAGATCATTCGATGTTCAAGTTTCAGCACTTCTAACATGAGTTTGAAATTCGAACGAACCAAAATTTCGAAAAATTTCACGCTTCACTTTTGTAGATAACCTTTAGTATATTTTCCTGTAACAATCACGTTTCTCTGAATTAATTTTAAATTTCCAATCAGTTGTTAGACGATATCAGTAATAAAAGCCTTTTTCTAGGCAGTTTCATGAGAACTCATTGATTCTTAATAATTGCTCTTTCGATCCTGAATGAAAATAAAGGTTCTAGTGAATTAATTTGCAAAAAGTATTATTTTAAATAATTTTGCGTTCCTTCACTTTTGCTCATTAACCAGTCTTTATTAGCTTTCATTTTTTACTCTAATCTTGTTGTTGATTAAAGAGATAAAATTGAGGTGTTGACCAAAGTAAAATATAATATCAGGTAATTTTGGGTGTTTCCTGTGTTTTGTGGGCGTAAAATTGTACTAATTCTGTTGTGGTTTTGGATAACAAGCTTCCATTATTCCGCTTCCTTTATTTTTATGTATCGTATATTATTTCACTTTCGCCATTCATTTTTATCATCATAATCATCATCATCGTCAGTCATCATTTTATATCTTTTTTCACAAACTTTCTACCTTTTCTTCTTACTCTCATTTCAGCCCATTTCATGATCAACATTTGAAAATGCATTTCAACAATTCCATCAACATTAATATGATCATTATTAAACCTCAATTTTGCTATCATTATTGATGTTTAACAAACATTGAATTGATTAAAAGAGGCAAAATGTTGACTTTTACTGTTGAACTTTTCTTCAATTTTACATGAAAAACTACACAAGAAAATATGAAACCTTATCAGTTGGAATAGAGAAAAAATATTTTTTTCTCTTTTCATGATTGATATATAATATCTTGCAAAAGTTTCATCTAATGATCATTTGAATTCTGATTGCTATTGCTCATGAAAACAATTTAAATGTTTAACCAAGAAGAGTGAAACATGATGACATGAATCGAAAAAAGTAAAGGTAAAACCAAGATGAATAGTTTTCTCGAGTCAATACAAGTTGACATCTATTGCCACCCCTTTTCACTCCCAACTCCTCACTATTGGAATCTTGTGTTATCATTTAACCATCGAAAGAAGCAGTAAAAGACAGAATAAGAAGAATGATTGAAACCTTTTCTTTAGTCGTTCTCTTCTCTCATCTATTCATTTCACTGCCAACATTTTACCAGTTTTTCGTCCTTCGCTCATCTCTGGGACTTTCCCTTTTCGTTGGTCCTCTACAAGGCTCAAGGCAAAAGTGTAAACAAATTGATCCAAACTAATAACAACTGTGTACACTTTGTTGCCACTTTTTGTTTCCTACTTTTTTCAACCTTACATCGCCTCTAGCATTTCCTTCAACATCACAATGTTATAACTGTGCATTTGATTATGAACCAAGCCAGCTAACTATTTCTCTGATTGTTTGCTTAACAATTACAATAACTTCAATAGTCGATTGTTTTTCTTCCCAATCCGCTTCCAATGTCTTTCATAATTTATTAGCCTATTATTATTCAGACACAATCCAACAAAAGACATTTTCTGACATTCATTTCAGAAATGCATTTAACTTTGAATTAGAAGCTGAAACATCTGTATTCATATACTTTTGTCAGAGCATAGCCAAACGAAGATTTTTGCTCATCAAAGTCATTTTCAAATTAACTCTTTGATCTCTTGTAAACAAGTTTTCCGACGCGAGATGAGCTAAAACTTGTCATGAAATCTTTTCAGGGGCGAAACTGGATGTCCCAAATTTTCGAGCTCATCATAGATCCTTTAACTTAACATTAGATTTTAAAACGAAATGAAAAACACAGATTTGCGAAATTCTGTTTGTGATTTCTGTGGAAACTCATTTTCTCGATGTTCATTTTTTGATCAGTAATTCACTTGCAATTGTTTCGTTCAGTTAAATGTTTAGAGTTAAAGTGAAATGCATTTATGAATGTTTCCAATGAAATAACAATTTAGCCAAACATAAGCAACTAAATAATTTATTGTAAATATTTTTTCATATCTTGTGTTGGTTACTAACCAAATTACCAAATCATTATTGAAGAAATAAATTAGACTCTCTTTTTTGATTGTAACCAGAAAAGCTGATTTGTTAAACTGGATAATGTTCACATTATATGCACCAGTTGTAATTGAATTTTTAAGATACCTTCTGGCAAGAAAAGATGTTATAAAATGAATAAAGTTGAAGCGCAAAAAAGACTCTGAATTTTGAACATTCTTCAACTGTTTATATACAATTAGAAATTTTGATTTCAATTTAAATTACCTTTTAGACATTGTACTTTGTCTTGTGCTTATTACCTATTCCAGCTTATTGTAAACATTAACATCATTATCATAATAAATAATGATAATATTTTTGCTTTCATTTCTCATTTTTTCTTCTTCTCTCTCTCTCTCTTCATGCAAATTATCATTTCTGTAAATAATAACAGAAATATAACATTATCTAGTTCACATTTTGACATTTATCAACCTTCAACTGCACCAAACTACAGGGAAGAAAAATAGAGGTTAAAGTTTTACTTTTTGAATAATTTATTAATGTGCAGATGACTGGTAATAACTAAAGAGAGAGAGAGAGAGAGAGAAAAAAAATACAAAATATAATAAGTTCTAAATAGTTTGTAAATGGAAAACGTTATTGTTCATTCTTTATTTTAATTTCAAGATGAATTCATTTTTTCATCAGGTTTCAACCTTTTTGCCAAATCTATTGTTGCCTGTTGTCAGTAACATCTTGTTTGCATCAAGAAACATTTTAACCCTCAATGAGCTCATTCTTTTGCTAACCAAAATTATTAAACTTATTTGCAAAATGGTCGTCCCAATGAGCTCTTCCCTTGAAATTGTTACACAAAACTGAGAAAGTCAAATCTGAGTTTCAGAACATTTTCAAAAGAATCGCTGAATTGAGCTTTCTGATTGACCTGGAAGAGCATGATTTTTAGGTTTATATCTACCATTTTCTTTAATATTCAGAATAGAATTTTTTATCAACTTGAAGTTTTTCTCAAATTTTAACGGAAAGTTCAACATTTGTTGAGTTATCTTCAAATATTATTTGCAAATGATGAATATTCAATATCGACATGAAAATACTTAAATTGTTTAAAGGTGTTAAGTCGCGACTAGTCTTGACATGATCATGATTGATAATGGAATGAAATTGATAAAGTGATGAGATGAAGGAATAAAGTTGATCATTCTCTATTACATGATAATACAATGGAATGGGATAACAATTGTTATGATAATTGTCTATCTATTTGTTGCACATTTATCGAGACTTGATAGTTGCCAACTTGTTATCAGATGATTCAGATCAATAGGGAAAAGAAAAACCA